TGAGAGGCACGAGGGGGGATCATATCATGATCTAAAGCACTGATCAACCATCCCTAGAGTCTAGAGGTGATTGATGGTGTTTGATATGTGATTCTCACCGATGGTCAACCAATCACCAACAGTACCCCTGTTCGGACAATCTGCAGCCCATTCCCAGCGGCATAGCTGCGGGTTTCGGATCGTGAAAAGGTCTCAGATCACGCCAAGGGGGAAGTGATCCCTCAAAAAAGGGGTCACTGCGTCACTGGCGGACCTTTTGGAGGGTCTGGCTGCGAAGCCTCCCTGTTTCAAGACAAGACGAGAACCAGTTCTGCCAAGCCAACTCTCAGCCAACTCTCACCTAACCTCAAGCAGAAACGAAATGGCACAGATCTGGAACTCTGGAGCCGCTGATCATCTTCACCCCCAAGCAGCCGAGGCTTCATTCTTTCTGAAGCCAGGCTACCTACGGTCAACCTACCGGCGGGCCGGGTGTGTTCCCAGCATCAGGGTGCCATGACCCACCATCTAAGACGTAGATCCTCAAGGCCAAGTGATTTTTTTTGTGGCCCAAAAGGACCAACCGAGGACCAAACATTGGAGGCACCATCCGCGACCTCTCAAAATCGGATATGGCGGACCCTGGGTCGTTTCCCACCCCCAAAATGAGCAGAATATCGCAGAATACACGACTATAGGCATGGTCAACCTGGAATAGACCGTGGCTCTGACCCACTGGGGTTCTGAGACATTCCGGTCTCTCGACAGTTCGACTTCGAAGGCTTCATACACCTGAAACGATCTCAACATTGAACAGCAAGATGGTAAATTCACCCAAGAAACAGCCAACAATCGCGTTTGGCATTTCCAGGTAGGTGACGGATGTGGAAGTTCCAGGAAGGTGCTGGACTCCCTTGAATTTCCTTTGTCGAGGTCCTCGTTACAGTTGTGTTGATCCTCACTTTCCATTCGGTCTAGTTCGCAATCCTCACTTTCCAGCGCTGTGGACCACTCTGCCATTGCCTGGTTGGGCCAAGTCGAGAACTGCCTTGGCTAGCCTGACGAGATCACGAGACCGCATCGTTTGCCAAGCGAAGAGACCGTGTCGGATGTTGGGAACAGGAGACCGTTGTCTTCATTGGTGGACTTGCTGTGTCTTCTATGTCTTCCTCAGTTTTCCTTACAAGGACCCAGTTGGAAACCGTGTACTTGCAAAATCGAAGAAGTCGGGAAGAGTACACGACCTACAGTATTGCCGAGAGGTGTCCTAATGTTTGATAAACTCATAGAGATGCAGAAAGGGGATGTTCAGAACGGCCAGTCACAGGTTCATAATTCTCCACTTCACTTTGGAATCCACAGAAACCACGGTTCTGTTTCTACTCATTTCTACTCACAGAGTTCACTGACATCAAACCTGCTCGATAAAGAACCCATTTAGGAACTTCTGCCTTTGCATGAGTGTAGTCTCCAGCATAGACAAAAAAAAAACACATGCAGTTCATATTTAAACAGTCGGTCTTACTTTTCTATCAAATACAAATCGAAAGTGATCCAAACACAGTCAGTCTCCAGCGATCCAAACACTGGTACACCATAGATGACCATGCATGTGCGACGGTTTCAAGGTTGGGGGAACCACTACGTTTTTGGGTCATCTATGGTCTATGGACGATCCAACTCGGAGCGATCGACAGTTCCTGGGGGTCGATCCAACTCGCATGTTCACCAGAGGCATCATCCTCGAATTGTACCATGCAGGGACATAGTATAGTACAATGTGTGTTGATGGTCAAACCAATCCTGGAATTGATCGAACCACCGTGTGAATAAGTGTGAATAGGTTTCGATGTGTTAATCCATCCATTTCTCCTTCAATCTTCCATCAATCCATCTATTCCAGTCAGATTTACAGTTTCTGTAATTTTCAGGAGACAGGTCCATCAATTCCCCTACTTCGGATTTCACCGGTCCTGTCGGCGCCTGTGACACCGCAGCCCGACATCGCGCTCCATGGGGCTTCGTTGGTCCCATGTGGTGCTGGTTGCGTTCGTCGATCTCAACTCCTTTCGCTTCACTCGAGCTTTGGACCCCGATCTGACCAGCTTGGGGCCATTGCTATGCTCGGTGGAGGCCATGGTTAGTAGGTTTTTGAGGCCATCGCTATTGAGCTCATGGCCAGACCGACCGGACCTACCGAGCTGTTGCTGGTGTCGCGCTCGTGCGTGCCGACCCTTCCCTGTGCCCGTCGGTCCGTGTAGCGAGTCGCGGCCGCCCCGTTCGTGGCGTTCGAACGCGGGGGGTGGGAAGTGACTGGAAAACCAGAAACTCTGAAAGGAGGTGACCGTCGACCCGTGCGAATAGGCTGCTTCTGGGTTTTCTTGATCCATCAGCTGCACCAAATGACACCAGGTCCTCTCACTTTGGATGCTCGCTGGTTGATTTGGGACTCAAAGAAGGAGCCCTTTCTGGTTTCCTCAACCATTGCAGCACATTCTCTGGATTGGAGGGGGCCTAGACCGGCTTTCTCAGTCGTTTTTCATATCGTCCCAGGCTGTCCCAGCCCCTGCGTTCGGAAAATCGACCAGTCTACCCAGGCGAGAGGGCCAGGGGCTCTCCCTAACATGCAAGGATCATGGTGTTTGAGTCTATGGAAGGTCATTCTACAGTATTCTACCAGAAAAAACATTCTTGGAGGTCCATGGGTCTAGGACATTCAGTTCGCAACCTCTTTGGAGTCTCTGTTTCTGAGCGTTGAAAACACTCCTGTTGATTACCGCAGCCACTGGGATCTCTAGTTCGGTCACTTTGAGAGTCATCGTTGGGTGAGCCGACTTGGTGTTGCCCCAGGTGACAACATCTGCGAGTGCTTAAGAAGAAACTCCAGCAAGTCTTTGGAGACACCGGAAAGCTCGGCTGCTTCGTTTGGATCTAAACTCGGAACCCCGAACTCACCAGGGGAGGTCGACCATAGTCTGTCTGTTCATTCTTGGTGGTCAACCAGGTTGTCCCAGCTTGGACCTAAACCCAGTTGGACAAACCGAATGAAGTCAGAGTCAGCATCCAAGGTGCCACAGCCCCAAAAGCCCAGTCACCTGGTGATCATTTCATGCATCCCATGCTCCAAACATGCGTCGCTTGAATCACTCTATCAAGAGCTTCCAGAAAGAAAAAGTCCCAAACATGTGGAGAAGCATCGAAACCTCGAACGACATCTGCATGTCACATGTCTATCTAAAGAAAAATAATTCATCAACTTGAGAAAGAAGGAACCTCTGAAGGCCTGCATCTTGCTAGACCTTGCTAGGATTTACATCGTGTTTTCACATGAATCTATGTGTCGGCTGCACGTAAACACAACAAGTCCTCCGTGTCCCGCTTTTTTCAGGCGTTTGCCCATTTGCTCGGTAAGCCAACAGACGCCGAAAATTGGATTCGAATCGATGAACAAACAAAACGAGGATGAAGATGTTGAACAATGGCAGGATTCGCTCTCACAGGGTACCGTCACCATGTATGCATTCTAGCAGACAGCCGCACTATATATACTTATGACCAGCACCACCCACCTGAAGATGTATTTTCTTAATAACCACCCCTTGGGTGCTGGTATTTTCCAGGTTTCCTTATAGAACAAACCGATTCTCCCACCGACTTCGATGCGGTGGCCTGGACCCCGTGGACGCCGACGCGACGCCGTGGTCATGGACATGACACGAGCAGCTGACACGCCCTGGACATGACACGCTTACCATACCACATCGACCATCTGAAGGTGTTGACATCCATTCATGGCCCAGAACTCGGTGTCAGCGTTTTTTGTGCGTCAGGTAGATGGTGTCCAATCATAGCTGATTGATACTCATTGTTTGGATGCTTGTTTGCCGATGTTAGATCTGTGTGAAGCATTCTCAACTCTTACTGATGATTCCTTGATGAGTGACAATGACCACATCAAAAAGCCTGTTCACCGATCCCTGACCTGATCTCCCGGATTGCTGAACCCTGCCCTTCCTCCAGCCGCGCGCCAGAGAAGTTAAAAAGTCCAGAAAACCATGACTTGACATGTGTGTGTGGCCGGGAATTGGGTGGAACTCGCAAGTGATAGTTGTGCAAAAAGATGCTTCTCTCAGTGACTATATTACTTCTCTCAGAAGTGGAAGTCCTGCTTCAACGATAATCAATCGCCCACAAGGACAATCAAGAGTAGGGAGAGGCAGTGGGCATCCTTTCGCCCTTCGGGGTCACCACACGGATTTTGGGAGAGGCAGTCAAACAGTCCAACAATGTTTCGTTCGACCCTCGTGCTGCCACAGTGCCGTGCTGACACAGTGCCGTGCCGACCTCCGTCCAGACACTCGGCACTCCGGTCGGATGGGGTGTGAAGACGTGAAGACGGTTCGAAGCAGCAAAAGGTGTCGGATACTATTAGAAAGAAGTGCCTTAACTAGTAGTAACAGGTGCCTTAACTAGTAAGAAAAAGCTACTTAGTACTATAGTAGTCTCATAGGCCCGTGCCTTACTACTAGTAACGTGTTGATACCTTCGATCCCAAAGACTGAAGTCCATTCCGAAGACGGAAGACCAGACGGTACGTACCATAGAAGTACCAGGAAGACCGTGGAGGCGCCAGTAGGAATAGGACCCAACAAAAATGGCACAAACATGGATGGCCCCCCCTATAAGAAACATGGAGGCGCTTTGTCTCTTTTTTCCTCCATGTCGGACATGATGTTCAAGAGATTGCACGTGAGATTGCCAGTAGAAAGCTTCAAACTAGGCCGATTCAATGTCTTCGACCTGGGATGAACACGTTGACAAGTGGCGGTTTGGGCCCTTCTTTGGATCAAGGCACCTCAACGCCTCAACCATCCTCAAGCTGGTTTTGACCACCCATCTCCAGCAGCATTTATCACACCCACGTCACATCGCAAACTTGTCAACAGTCCTGCGATCCTGCTGCAGCGGTTCAAAGTTGCTGCGGATCGCGTGCCCGGTGCCGCGGAACTTCGACGCTGCGCTCACTTGTCTGGCCGTTCAAAAATGGAGAAGGGTGCCTGGGTGTCATACTCGGGCCTCAGCGGTGCAAAAAATGGCATGCGTTTTGGGCAGTTGCAGCATGCTTGAAGTCATCAAGTGAGGACCCACCAGTGTGTAAGGAGCGACCAAAGGAACCTGCTCACACAGAACCGATGCATAGCAGTGGTGCGCTACGCAGCGTGCGTAGCAGTGGGGCTGCGGATCAAAGGCCAAGGGAAACCTGTCCAAGGGCCTGGGAAGAATGTAGCACCGCTATGCCGAATCGCTCCGGCGCTGGTCGTCTATCTCTGCCTACTTAAGATGTCCTGTTTCATTCACTTACCCATATATAGATGCCTTTGTGTGGTCCCCAAACGGGTAGAAACGGTGTTGATGAAGACTCTCAGAGAGCGAGCAAGAGAGAGAGAGAGAGAGAGACGATCCAGTGTTCCATCCACTTTGGTGTCACTATAGTCACTATAGAGCATTTATATACGTTCAGCAAAGCAATCAATTCGATATAGCAGTGTTAAGTTAAAATACAGTGACCAAGGTCATCGCAAGCACCATGTCATCTGAGGTGGGTTTGATGGGAACAGTCGGCTCATGCAGTTGTGTCTAAAGATCATATACCGGGGCCAGCGGGCCAGGGGTGTCCAATAATAGCTCCTTAGAGGTTGTGAGGTGTCCATTAACCACCGGCACCGGGCGGTACCTGGGAGACAGAACGCCCATCCACCCCACCGACCCAACAAGACCACGGACGAATTCATACGGCGGCGACCGGCCTCCAAAGGAGGCCTTCTGAACTAGCAACGGCCGAAGACTTCTGGAACACTCCTGCTGGGGTCTCACCATGTCCCAGTCAGTTCGTGTCCAACTTCGGATGGTTGAAGCAACGGTGTCAGTGCGGTCGCAGCAACGGTTGGGGCGAAGAAGGACGGACATCCGATGGTGCTGGATGGTCCGGTGCTGGAGCCTCGCATTCGACAAGACCCTCCGAGTTTTTCTCTTGGAGCCCCATGTAACCACTCAAAAATCGAGGACAATGGCCAAAGAAACGGGTGACTCTTCGCGAATGGTTTGGACGAACGATCGGTCATCTTCGTGTCACTGGGCTTGTCCACCTCTCAGGTTCCTCGTTCACCGCCGTGAAGAGCGCCGTCAACGCAAAGAGAACAACGCCTCTCCGGTGGCGCCGAGCGCCGCGAGGCCCGGAAGTCGAGGTCGATGTTGTCTTCCAACAGAGGTTGAAGGACCCGAACTAGACTATCCCAGCAGGGTACCCCTTACGGTGACGGGTCCGTCCTTTTTCAGGTCACGTCGGAGACCTCTCGGGATACCTCTCTGCTGGTGCGGGATGCCTTTCGTCACGAAGACGAAGGGGGTGCAGGAGCACGACAAGCCACCCTGAGCACTTCTCTGTTTGCGGATGTTTGAAGAACTCAGCATGAATCTGTGCAACGTGCACCAGACAGGGCCAACCAAGTTCAAGAGGTTCCATGGTTTCAGACAAATTCTTTGGCACAAACATGTTCTCTATTCACCCAAGACACCACTGAGAACCAGGCTGGGTGGCCGACTGCAAATGATTTCATGTTGAATTGTTACATTGAGTCAATCTGAATTATGAATCCAGAGAGAACCATATAGTACCCACATCTTCTGGAGGTTGACGATTTGTGAGAGCTTGCAAGTGCGGCGCCCGACATGTTTTGAGTGTAACGAGAAAGGGCCGGGCCCGCCAATGATATTATTTTCACATAAACTTGCTTCTTTGCGCCAAAAAAGACCAGCACCTCCACCCTTCCACCCACCCAAATAGACCCTAGGCCTGCGCCCGCCACGTAAACGAAGATGGGATCAGCCTCAGGCTCTGTCACCTGAGAGGTCTCGCGGAGGCCCAAAGTGGGCACCTTTTAGGGGGTCAAAGTGGATAGACGATCCATGGTAAGCCATGGAAAAAAAAGAAAGAAATAAAGAAAAAAGGCAATGGCAGGCAACCTTTTTTTCAACCCCTGGAACATGTGTTTTTAACCCTGGAACCGGTTTTTTTTTAACCCTGGAATATGTTTTGACCCTGTAACCATCTCTTTAATCCTGTCACATTGTTTCCCAAACCTCTAACATTTTGTTCTACCCCTGTAATTTACCGGGTCTCCCACCCCTTTCTTGCCTTTTCAAACAGGTCCAGTGTCATAGCAACACTGCCACTTTGCAGAATTTACCCCTCACCCGCCAAACCCCTCCACCCCCCCCGCGCAAACCTGTGCGCATGAACATGAAATATTGTTAATCCCATCGAAAAAAA